TTTAGGAATCTTTCCGTTTTTCTGTTAGCGAGCTGCGTCTCAATTAGGGTTTTCTAAGTTCTTACGTTTACGGCTACTCTTTTTGTAACCAGTTCAACGCAGATTCGGAATAAGAACCTCCTTGCTTTCAAACCTCTCTTATTTTCGTTTTTATTCTAAGTGTTTTAGTCATCTTAATCTTTGTTGTGCGGTTCTCGCATATAGCCGGTTCCTCTGGAAACTTAGGGTTTTCCCGAAGTTTCCTAATTTACGATTTATTTGACAGTAGGGTGAAATCGACTCCCACAGAACTATCACATTAAAAAATATAGTAGGTAATGACCTATTACCTTAATAAATAAATATTTTTTTATATAGTTGATCATAAATTATACAATTACTAGCATACTACCCCGTACTGCGTACGGAAAAAGAAAAGAAAATAATGGATTTGTTATATTATTCTCAAATTAATTTTACTTGGTTTCAAGGTAGGTGTAGCTCTTGTTATGTTTCTCTTCAACAGTTTAGAGTTACAGTTTCGTGACAGTCATTCTCATATACAGATATTCATGACTCATGTACTGCAAAACATTAGTAAATGTGGAATTACACAAAGAACTCGTGATCGATGTACTTAAATCAAATTATAAACACAACCGTCTTTACACTGGAAACATATTTATAGTATTACATATTTTGGTTCTTATGTCAGAAATTCACTATAATGCAGACAATCTATTTGCTCTCCAACTCTATAATCTTTTATTGTGAATTTCATTAGAGCATGTGAAACATCGATTACAATTTATTTTGCGTAAGATATTATATTTCGTTATATGAAAAGAAATCTGATTCTAGTTTATCTACTTATAAATAAACAAATAATGTATACTTGCTACTCAAGTAGTCTTTCAGCAAAAATCACAAAAGAAAGATACTACAGGTGTCATCATCTATTATCATGGCTTATATTTTATTTTTGTCACTATACCAAATAGACAAGTATGAAAAGAAAGACTTATTCTTGGGTTCACCATCAAATAGGATTACATTATTTCATATTTGATATCTTTTTAATAAGGAAATAAAATCTTATTAAGTTATATTATATTTTTAAAAATAAAAATACAAAAAAATAAAAATAATAATAATTACTAAAAACGAAAATAATTCTTTTTAAAGAAAATATTTTAACACTAAACTCTAAATTATAACCCTAAACCCCTAGGTAAATCATAAACCATTGGATAAATCTATAAAAATTTAGTGTTTATGATTTACCCAAGGGTTTAGGGTTTAGGATTAGAGTTTACGGTTTAGTGTTTATGATTTATCCAAGGGTTTAGGGTCTAGGATTAGAGTTTAGGGTTTAGTGTTTTAGTGAAAAGATTTTTTTTATAAAATTTATCCAAAGGTTTATGATTTACCTAGGGATTTAGGATTTAGGATTTAGGATTGGAGTTTAGGGTCTAGTGTTAAAATATTTTTTTAATTTTTTTTTTGTTTTTATTAATTTTTGATTTTGTATTTTTTATTTTTAAAAACATAATATAATTTAATAAAATTTTGTTTCTTTTTTTAAAAGATATCAAATATGAAATGATACAATCCTATTGGATGGTGAACTATAGGTTCATAACCCAAAAATAACTCGAAAAGAAATCTGATTCTAATTTATCTACTTATAAATAAACAAATAAAGTATACTTGCTATTCAAGTAGTCTTTCAGCGAAAATCACAAAAGAAAGATACTATAGGTGTTATCACTTATCACCATGGCTTATATTTTATCAAATCCAAAGAAACCATGTAAAATACGATAGTCTTATGATAAAAGGTAATAAAATACGATAACTATACTCGTAATTTCGTTTTTGTTGATCGGTAGTGACTATTTTTTTAATCTTTTCACATCTTTTGAAATCTGGTTCAGTCAATCAATATTTATTAGCAATGAGATACGATTAAGAAAAAAAAAATCAATGAGATACGATTAAGAAAAAAAAGCAATGAGATACAATTTCTGCAAGCATGCAACGATTACATAACATAAATAAAAGATTGACGACTAACATAAGAGATGAGAACACGTACGATGTATCCATTTTCCCCAGTCGTTTCAGATTTTCTGATCTAGAAAAGAACTATACCTTGAGTTTTTTTAAGAAAACCTTGCATGTGGGCGATAAGGCTTAATAAATAAAGTCCATAGTAGCAGTTGATAAAAGAGTGAGATACAGAATGAGATCCAAAGATATTAAGAAAAGGTAAAACATAAAATATGATATGGATTAACAATGTACTTCGTAAAAGAAGCTTTACCTGCTCACATCGGATCTGTGAAACAGAGAAGAGAACTAAATATCTGAATTGACACGTAATGTGAAATATTTTATTTGTTTTATTTTTTTAATTTTATTTTTGATCTATGTGGCATAACATTAGTTGAGTGACTTGTGATTTACTATATATAAGATAATATTTTTTAAAAAGTATAAAGGGAAAATGTATTTTAAGAAAGAACAAAAATATTGTATCACTATTAAAATGTTAGAAACATGTTTTAATACTGTCTGCTGGTTTTAGGAGTCCTAGTGAAAGGATAAGACCATCCGCAACGGTAAACAAACACGGATCCTTAGAGCAGTATTAACACGGGGGCTTAGGGAAATGCTTAAGTGATTTTTAGTTTAAAAAAAATGCTGTAATTAAACAAGCATTGACGCTTAATTAAGCGCATGAAGCAGCGGTGCTATCTCACACGTGTCACCCTCTCAATACTCTGCGTTACTTTCTCTCTCTCACGAAACCTATCTCCCGACGGCTCCCCCTCGATGGCTGAGTGATCAATTGGCAGTGATGTCTCCTCGTGTCTTTTGATCTCCCCGACGGCTCTGTGATCAATCGACGACTCCGCGATGAATCTCCTCTATGAAATCAAAAAGAAAGGTAAAGAGACGGACGGATATGTCATTATTGAAGAATCGTAGTAGCTTCACACAATACGTTGAAGTTCTCTGCTTGAATCATTCTTCTTTGACATATATCATCTCCTTGTCTGAATCAGGTTTGGATCCTCCTCTCTGCATAAAGCTTCGATCTTTGAGTGACCCTGAAGAGTTTCAAACGAAAGTTGTCTCCTTTTAGCTTGATTTACATGTGTCTTCCTTTTGACTTGGAAGCTTTTGGCTTTTTTATGAATGATTTTGATTTTAGGTTTCTCTATAATATAACATCTGATTGAAAAGTCAAAAACTTTGTTCAGTTTTGTAGTTAACTTTTGCTCATTTTTGATGCAGAATGGTTGACTTGTCTACTTTATTTCCTACGGAGATCACAGTGATGGGATCAGTGTTCTGCGTCTTGCTCTCAATGCACTTCACGATGCAGCTCATTTTCCAGCATCTTTTCTACTGGAAGAATCCTAAAGAACAAAAAGCCATTCTCATCATTGTTCTCATGGCTTCTGTTTAGGCTATCACCTCTTTTTTGGGTTTGCTTGATGCTAAAGAAAGCGAACCCATCTTCATGTTTGTAGACGCTATTAAAGATTGCTATGAGGCACTTGTAAGTTCTCACTTCCCCTCTTTTTCTCTCTATGGCAGTTTCTTGATTTGCTGTATTTTTATTGTTTCAGGTCATTGCTAAGTTCTTGGCGTTGATGTATAGCTACCCTAACATATCCATGAGTGGAAGGATTATCCCTGATGAGATTAAAGGGAGAGAAATCCACCACTCTTTCCAGTGACTCTACTTGTTCCCAGGACTACGCATTTGGATCACCTCACGCTGACACAGCTCAAGCATTGGACATGGCAGTTCTGTATTATCCGCCCTGTGTGTTCATTCTTGATGGTATCACTGCAGCTTCTCAGGATTTATCCACCGTGGTTGAGCTGGATCTTCACAGGTATATTTGGCATTGTATTCTTTGGTGAAATTTTATCATGTTTTTGCCAAAGAGTTGGATCTTCATATCTAAAATAAAACAATGTTTAGTATTTATTTAAGCACCCTAAAATAAGCAATTTATATTGGAGGATCAAAATTTAGAAGTTGCTTAATTTGAATTCTTAAGACATAAGTATTACTAAAAAATGAATAAGCACTCCATTAGGAGTGTTAGCGTTAAAGATGATCTTAGCACTTTAACCTAGGTGATTTCAGTTAAGAAATTATTAAAAAAAGAAAGTTTGCTACGGATTTTAAGGACTATAAGGATTCAATCCTTAGGGACATGGCCATGTATTTTTGTCTCTCTTCTTCTTGTTTCTCTTCTTCTTCTAACAGATCTGTCACTTCTCTTCCTCCTCCTCTCTTAAACGTCGTTCTCAAACACTATTGTCTTCTTTATCCATTTTCTTCTTCATCTCGTCATCGATAATCATTCATCTCTCTACTGTACATCTAAGAAAAAAATCAAACTTAAAAAAAGCATTTAGAAAAGGTACATAGAGGACGTAATAACACAGCACAGACTCTATTTCATTTCATTAATAATACAATTCGCTTTCATGATCGTCATCCATTTCCTTTTCTTAATCTCCACCTTGTCTTCATAATCTTTAAGTGCCTGCAACACACAGATTTTCGAACAGATCTCTCTTTCTGTTTTTTTCTCTCGATTTTCTCTTTTTCTTGTCTAACTATGAAAATTTATTGATTTTGTTTCTGGGTTTTCTGAATCATCGTTGATCATTCTCTGGAAATCGCAAAAGTTTCTATTGTTTTGATGATCCAGAGATGCATTTTTGTTGAATCATGATTTTTTTTTCCCTAAGAACTCCTAAATGGGATCCACTATTGGACTAACTTTTTCTAGTTAGAATCCTTAACTATTCAATTTTTTTTAAAAAAGTTAAATAATCCCTAAGAACTCTTTAATGGAGTCCACCATCGTGGATGCTTTAAGAGTATACTAATTAATGCAGTTATTGCAAAGCTGATACTAATGAGAGTATACTAATGCAGTTATTGCGAAACTTACACAAGCTTCGCTAATCGCATGTACTACCTTTGACTTTTTTATTGGTGGCTTGAAAAATATTTTTTACCCACTTTTTTGCCTTCATCTTTTCTTGAATTGACAAACTTTTTTCCAACTAATTTATACTAGTTTATTATAATGAAATAATATTTAGCAAAAGAGAATATTTATAATAATTATAATATATCATCTATCTTATTTTCTTATTATTTAAAATGGAAGTTTCTTTTTCTTGTGTACCATGAAAAGGTTATATATATTATTTCTTTTGGTAAAAAAATCAAGTTAATTTCATCATAAACTAAATATACATCAATTAATCTGTAAAAAAAATAATTAGTATATTTAAAATATTTAGACAAACATTACAACATTTAAGTTATGACACACTAATAGAATCAGTAGAAAAAATAAATTAATGAATTACTATTACATGTATATTTAATATATATATATATATATATGTGTGTGTGTGTGTGTGTGTGTGTGTGTGTGTGTGTGTGTG